ATTATACCAGTTGTGATAAACTGGAAATCATAATAAAATGAAAAGAAGATTTTTTTTTTTCAGTTATATGTGCTTGATACTTGAAAATGAATGAAAAAACAAAGATATGATGGAAATGTGTGGGTCTTTTTAATCCTAAGGGTTATTCCAGCATGCATCTACGTCATGCACCTACTAAATATAGTGGTGTTTTATGGTAGTGATGTTGATGATTTTCTCTCTAGAGTGAATATTTCAGCAATGCAACAATGCTTGTGAAAATAACAGTGTGAATTTAAGCTTTGTGTAGGCATTTCTTTAGAAATATGATTGGTTTTTATTTTTTTTCTGGGGGGGGTGATGTACTCTCTCTACAACAACTTGACCAAAACCAAGATGCCTGAAAAGAGATTCTGACATACCAGGTTACATGCTGTTCGCTGGATTTTTCATGGTAAAAAGAGTGAAGGCTTGCCAGATCAATTTATTTTCAATTTCCTAAAATTCCAGGGAAGAAACTAATAGATGATAAATCCATGCAAATAATGGGGGCCTGATGGGCTCCTCTAAATGTGCTGGAGCAGCCACTGTAGGGTTGTGAATGTGTTTGCCGTCCCCAGGACTGTGAGATCCCATTTAATTCATGGACTCCTGATGTGGTGCTCCTTGGCTCTCAGCATATGGGGTAACTATCCCTAAATAATCTGCTACTTCTGATGCCTCAGGTTTCAGCTTTTATATTTCCAGGTTCTGTGCTGCTTTAGTGTGTGGGTCTGGGATTCATACCAGGGGATGCTGAGCTCTGTGCACAGAGCAGGGAGACAAAACAATTCCTGCTCCAGCTGGGCACCAAGGACAAATGATCCAAACCTCAGCCCAGGAGCACAAACAGCGTGGGCTGGAGAGAGAAAAACAAGCAGGGTGGGACTGCCTGGGCTGGAGCTGGAATGGGACAATGAACTCCAAGGTGCCAATGGAGCAGAACTGATCCCAGGGAGAGCCCCGGGAGCGCTCGTGCATTTTGGGACCATTTTGGGTCATTTGGGTGCAGCCCTGGCTGGGCTCTGGTGCTGCCCAAGGTGGATCCATGGAGGAGATCCTTTTAATAAATCCATATTTTATTCTTTAGCTCTGTCCAGCCTCTGTTCTAGGTCAGCCTTCATCGATATTTACAAACCGCAATTGAAATTTGCTAAAAAATCAGGGTCTTCTTTCTGTTTGGAATCATGTTAATTAATTTATAACTGGATGGAAAATACAGGCACCAATTCAGGACATGGTCATTTGTACTGTGAGATTAAATAGGACATGCCACAAGGGGGAATGGATTTAGGAAAGACAGCATGTTTAGATTGGGTATTAGGAAGAACTTATTTACTCAGGGAGATGAGGGCCTCACACAGGGTGCCCAGAGGAGCTGTGGCTGCCCCTGCATCCCTGGAAGTGTCCAAGGCCAGGCTGGATGGGGCTTGGAGCAACCTGGGATAGTGGAAGGTTTTCCTTGCCCATGGCAGAGGGTGGTACTGGATGATTTTAAGGTCCCTTCCAACCCAAACCATCTTATGTCTGCAATCATGGGACATTATTCTGTTTATTTTACCAGCTGAGCTGATAAACCTGCCTGAACTTCAGTAATAGCTGTCTTAATTACTCTAAGAATACAATCAATAACTCTTTATGCTTTCCCACCTCCTGGGGTTCTCGGAACTTGTTCCTCAGATAAAAATCTATTCCACTTGCATTACTGATCTTGCTTCAGTTCAATGCTTAATTTGGCAGAATTATTCAGGACTGACACAAGATTAACTGAAACAAGACATGTTTCAAGAAAAAAATCCTAACATCTTTAGCTCTCCTCACACTAAAAAGGAACTCATGGTTATGATGACTATTGGGAGGAAGTGTGAAAGTTTCCTAGAAAAATAACTCAAAATAATAATAGAATTAAAATTATCATTAAAGGTGTGTCTTCTGTGTCTTTTTTTGAATTCCTACCTCAGCTGCTTAGACATTTTGATGAATCTGTATTTTAGAGATCCCCAATATTTTCAGCAGTAAAGAGGAGCTTCTCTCGAAAACATCAGTGAAAAAAAGATGGAGTGATTCCTCTCCCAGAACCTGGTGGGATGTTGGGGTCTCAGCAGCATGCAGGCAGCTCCGAGGGAAACTAAAAGCATGAGGTAAGGCTGGGGAGGCATGAGACTGGTGATGAATGACTGAACTTACAAGTGGACAAAATGGAAGTTTATAACCACCGAAGCACTTGGCCACTCCATGAAAATTGTGAGGAATTAGCAACGTGTTGCCAAATTTTTTTCAGCCTAAAGGCAAAGGCTGTTGCACACAATGATCAGGTTGTTTAGAGAGGAAGTCTAGTTTTTTTACTGGGAGTAGAGCCCTGGTAATGCACAGCAAATGATACAAATGATTGATTTATTTTAAGGTAAATCTTGAATTCTCCAGTGGCTACGCTGCATTAATTAAACCTCAGTTCCCCTGCAGTGCTCTGTTCTGCCATGGTCCTGTCATAGCTCCCAGCCAGCTTCTCCAGTGGGAGATTTTAATAATGAATGCACAGTGGTAGCAATATATGATTAATCTTTGAATTTAAGCCCATCCCTGGGGTTTTAAAAATCAAATACAGCCTTAAGTGCTTTGCAGAACCATCACCACTGTGTCTATGAAGTAGAAGAGGTAGATTTTTCTAACAAAAATAGTCATTACAAGAACTTGAACCTAAACATTACCAAATATATAATAAAATAAACACTGCTCAAAGTCAGTAGCCAAGTTTTTGGGGTCTTTAATTTTCTTTTCTTTTTTTTTTTTTTTTTTTTTTTTTTTTTTGGAAGATGGAAGTACAGCTGTCTAAAGCGTTATTCAAAAAAAATGGAAGACTGATAATCCCTGCTGCAGATCCATGTGGTATTACCTTCAGAAACAGGCTGAAAATCCTTCCTCAACCTCACCGTTCCTCACCTACTAAAGGGAAAATGCTTAAAAATGTTCTGGAATAAAGATCTGGATGAGGAATTTGGTCTGATGGAATGATGCTACAATAGTTTGAAACAGCAAAATAGAACATGGAAAATACTTAATATGAGCCAGAGTCTAAATGTGAGATATTTCAATATGGTGACAGAACCAGATATGATCTATCGTCTTCCTTCCTTACAAGCTCCCTTTTTACAGGGTTTGTGTGCACAAATATTGACTCTGTCTGGTGTATATCTGCAGAGAATTATCAATTTCATTCCTTTTTATCGTCCCTGTGTGAACTTTGCTGCTGTCAAATCTGTTTGGATAAACAACACTCCACTCCATAACACATACATCAATGCGAGATCGATTTATACACACCCGGTTATAAAAGTTGCAAAAAAAACATGAGAAAAAAAATAATGGCAGCGAATGGAACAGAAAATATGATGTTTTCTCTTGGTTTTGGTGGCTAGCTATACACATAGGAAAAACACCAGCAAAACCCAGTCACCATATTGATCCAAGATGACACGGGATGTTTGATAATCCAGTTAAATCTCTGGAGTCCGTGGCATGCTTTGCTTCATACGTGAGATGTGCAGCAGACACCCAACATGCACTTAAAAATTCAGACTCAGAACGAGCTCTGCACATCTCAGGTGTTAATTAAAATCTAAGAACTCAGGGATGGCTTCCCAGCAGAACATCCATGGGAAGCCTTCATGCAAGCCCTAGGCAAAACATGCACAAGTTAACCTAGTCACTAAGTCTCATCCTCAGTTGTATTTCTGAGCTAAATCCACCCACAGAATCAATTTAAAACATCGTTTTTGACTGTGGAAACATAGTTTAGACCAAGATGAAAGGAGCAGTGCTTTCAGTAAGTGGATGTCTGGCTACAGACATGAAAATTGATGTAGAAAATATTATTATTTAATGCAAATTCAAACTTGATAACGGGTGGGGGGGCAGGGGGGAAAGAAAAATAGGCAGCTGGAGGATATATTTTTCCCTGAAAATTGTCATTTAGATGGATGACATTATTACACTATAATTGTGGTTACTTAGGGTGAAACTAAGCACTGGATAATTGTATTTGCCACCAAATAAGCACCTCTTACTTTACCCTAACATCTTTTAGTTTTATTTAAGGTGTTCATAGCTTGCCTATTTTCGTCAGGAATTTAGTACTAAATTAAATAGTACTACCTGTGTCTATGTGTGCTATAAAACACTCAAGTTCACAAAAAACCCCCAAAACCAAATGTGTATGGTGTTTAGGCCAACACCAGATGTGCTGCCCCATATCCTAGTTATTCCAGAGGATTATATAATTTTTATATGGAGAATGACTGCATACACAAAAATTATAATGACAACCACCTCAACTGGCCAACCTTACCCTTTTATGAGGTGGAAGATAATAAAAAGGATTCCAGCTTAAAAAAACATATAAATCACCAAGCTGAAAACATCTAGAGGAAAATTTTAGGATTCATGTGCATTTGAAAACAATTTTAAGGGTGTGTGTGAAATGTTTGACTTAAGTGGAATGTATTTAAATTTACAGGAAACATGGACATAAGCAGGTCTAGGGGATCTGCCTACACTATAATTCAGCCTAAAATTAATTAAACCTTTTCACCAAATCTCATTGATTTCAGTGAACTTTGAACCATGTCCTGGAACTTATGAAGCACAGCAAAGCATCCCATAAAGATAAAATTTTTTATATCCATATTATAATTTTCAGATAACTGACATGTAAAAATATTAGATTTGCTTTGGGTTTGGTTTTAATCATGTATTTCTGCTTATTTAATGGGCCTTTTAAAGAAATGTCAAAGCTGGCATTAAAATGCACTTACACAGCTGATGGATTGAAAAATTAAAGTAAAAATCAACCAAAATAATTTAATAGGCCTTGCAAATCTTTTCAAAAATTAACCTAATTTACCTGAGGTTTCTTTTTTACTTTGTGGGTTTTTCCTATGTGTATATCAATAATTTAAATTGATTACTGCTTTATTTGTACTTACAAGTAAATGCTGGACTCATTGCCCCCGATGTCAGGTGACTGGAGTTTCTGCACAAGTATCACAATTATGCCAATAAAAAGCACAAAGTTTATCTGGGGGGTAGAAAAAAAAAGGAAAACATCGTGACAATGACATACTTTTACAAAGTATGAAAATGAGACATGCTGGTTACATTCCCTTTTTTTTTCTCCAATCTACAGTCTAAAAGTTTTACAGGGTCAGGAGTAATGTGGAAAGTATACAAGGGTCTTATTCCCTTTGCTGCAGCTAAAATGAGGCAGAATTTCTGCAGTTTCAAGACAAGAGAAGAGAAACATAAATGGAAAAGTTTCTACATTTTTTATTACCAACCTGTGCAGAGTAAAAAGAAAGATCCCTGCACAAAACAAGAGGAGGTCATAAAATAGAGAACTCCAGAGTAAAGGCATTGTTAACTCCTGTTCTCTGACCAACAGACTTCTCAGTTTAAGTGTTTCTCTCAGTTTTAAAAACCTGGAGAATGATAAAATTAGTTTATTTCAATGCTTTGGCTTGAGATTAGTCTGTCACCAGCTCCTCAGCTCTCAGCTTCTTAGAGCCTGAACAGAGGAAATTTAAGTTGGTCCATTATAAAATCTCATATAAGGAGACCAGGAACTGAACATGAGCATCAGCATCAGCCTCATAATCTGAAGGTTGTGAGTTTGATCCTTTCATGGGGCACCATTATAATGTATAATGTTGGGTTTTGGGGTTTTTTTTTGGTTGGGTTTTTTTTTTTTTTTTTGGTTGAGATTGGGATTGAAGATACTTGAAGGTACTTGACTCAAATGTTTATTTTTTCTTATTTATGTTAGTCTCACAGGTAGGGAGTTCTGTAGTATTCTACTAACAAGGTATAAAATATTTAACTATTTCTTGTTATAATGTTTTTTAAGGTTAAACTATCTAATTAAGAAATGACATTTAAATTATTTTCACTTTTAACTTAATGACTAATCACTTAAAGTCCACAATGCAGACTTTTCTGTTTAATTACAAAATACTACTCAGACTTACAGAGAAGGTGAAGAAGAAGGACTACTCTGTTTTAAAACTTCTATCTTGTTCTCTATATATTACTGTATTCTTAAACCCCAAATTTTAAGTTTTTCACCTTGTGATATTATACACTTCTAATTAAACTACACACTTGTAATCCTAGTGTCATCAATCAATTTTGGAAGCTTTTTCTACAGCTTCAGGTCAAATGTAATGCTTGCTTTGGAGCTAGAGTCTGTCAGCACAGAAAGTCTAAAATTCTCAGCATCCAGAATTCTAACATCTTCCAGCAATTTCTGTCTGATCTGAGGACTACAAAGGGCTGGAGAAGCCCAGATGTCCCTTGCTGGTTGCTTGGTTTTTTAATTCCTTTGACAGAAACCAGGTTTAATTGATTCCCCAAGCAGAACACGATCCTTCATAGACTGTGCCTGCAAAACACAGAAATTCACACATGGAAAAAAACCTTGGATCATTAAACCCTCTCTGTTTTGGTGATGAAATTGGCTGAATTTCCTTTCATTTATCTGATAGTTGCTGGACTTTACAGAGAATCTGAAGATTTCAAAGGAGAAACGCCAAACCTGATAAAACTTCCTGTTTTATTGGTTATCTGTGAGCTGGATGTCTGAATTCCCACAAAACCCACTGAAAACCTGCTTAGTTATGTCTGTGGAGTGTGGAGAGAAACTTAGAATACCTATAATGAGACATTTACATATGGCAAGCCTGATAGATTTTCAGGTGCCACTGACCATATTGTCCAGGGGCTCAATTTATTTTCCTAAATGCAGGAGCCCAACAGCATTTTAAAATTCTAAAATTTAAAATTTAAAATTGGAGCACCAGAATATCTCCTTCTCTTCAGATATTCAAAATCTATCTGTGCACAATCCTGAATTATATATTCTAGGGAATCCTGTTTAAACAGTGAGGTTGGACTAAATGACTTCCAGTAATTCTTTCCAATTTTAGCTATTCTGTGAAGCCCAAACAGGGCACTTTGGAACATCTCAGTCCTCCATGTGCAGGTATCTGACAAAATTTAAGCCAGATCCAAGAGTTCCATCAATTAAAGAGAGCTCAGACACCTTGCTGGCAATATAGCATCCTGCACTATGATCGAGCACTATTTTAAATCTAATATTGGATAAATAAATGTAGCTGTGAAGTTAATCCCATTCATCAGACAGATGCATTTTCCTGGTCACTGACATTTACTATTGTTTTAGATACCCTGGATTGTCCCATTTGGCCTTAACCCCAACTGGTCCAGAATTTCCATACATCCTATGACACCTCTGCCAGCCCCAGACAAATGTTCCACGAGCTCTGGGGTCTTAATTCTAGCATTTGTGTCTGTGTTTAACTGAATAACTCCTTTGCTTGCAGGTAGTGCTCCATCATTTGATTTATATTAATCCTTCTTAATAATGAAATTCCTTGGCATTGTGGGAGGCAAACGATGGAAATTCAGATTATTTGCCTACCAGTCCAGCACAAGGGTGCAGCAGAGTTTGTAAAGTATTTGAAGATGTTTAAATTTGTCCCCAGGAGAGCTGAGAAATTGTCTTCTCCACGTGCTACTCACCATGATTGACCCAACCACGGGACCCTTGATCACCCACCACAAGGCAGTGTTGTCATTCATGTCCCAGCAGCTGCAGTCGTGGAGGAAAGAATGGGATGGGAGAAGAGAAGGAAAAAAAAAAAACAAGACATAACAATGAAATTAATGAATTTACAACTTTTTTTTTTTTAAGGGGCCAGAAGGTGAGAGATTGGTTTTACAGCTAAATTATTTTATCTAAGTTCAAAGTGATAGTTCTTTACTTTGTCTTATTGCAGATTTCTTTTACAGCCTTTCCACAATCATTTGGAAGTAAAAGAAATTTTTTTTTTTTTTTGTGGCAGTTTTGATGGCATTCCTTTTAAACAGCTTAGATAATTTGGAAAAACCCTTTAACTGTGTTTCTATAATACAACTGTAAAGTTGTCATTTAAAAAAAAAAAATTGATACATCAATGGATGGGGATTTTTTGGATGATTATTCCAAAGTTTGATGTCTCACTTACTTTTTTAAGGTTAACAGATATGAATGTTGGTTTCTGGCCCTGACACAAGGATTTTTACACATTTCCAGTACAACCAGGATCCTGGTTGCATTCATATATTGGAATGATTTTCCAGTCATTGAGTTGCAAGTCCTATCCAGGATTCATCTGAGAAGGATCAAATACTGGGCAATAGTTGGGGTCAGCTCCTTTGTTAAGTTGTTGCTAGGGAGTAATTATAAATAAAATGACATTTCTACCCCAGAGTTTAAAATCTTCCTCTGTAATCACCAAAGGATTCTGCAGAAGGTTATTTCACACAGGTGCACTTGAACATTCAAATATATGGCTTATATTCATAGAGAATTTTAATGTTAACATACATTTTTAGAGCTAGAAAACCAATAGTAATGAAAATAATCTTATTTTCCAGGCCCTGCTACACTATTATAATGACTACTATTATTATTGAGAAATGTCTTTGTGACTTTTTTAAGTCATCAAGAATTTCGCAACTAAAATATTTCTTTCATTTGCCTCCATTTTCTTCCCTTGATTTTCTCCCTAGAAAATATAAAATCATGGAAATCTGTCTAAATTGTACTTGCAGTTCTGAGAAGGAGTTTTTCCTTCCCACTGGGAAATGAGCCAAAGTCCCAGCAGAGGCTGTCATGGTGCATTTGTCAAATGCCAAAAAACAGTTGGGAAGAACATACAGGAATAAAACACTGCTGGTCTCTTGAGAGCTTACTACAACTTCAGTGTCATTTAAATGGTTGCGTCTGGGGGAAAAGTGAAAACCTTTAAACAAAACTATATACAAATGTAAAAGTGAGGAAGCAGAGTTAAAATCCCATCATCAAAGTGTGTGTGAGAGAAATCCCAAATGGCTGAGTGATGCCTGGTTTAGAAATTTCATTTAAACTTATATTAGCAGTTGAACAATATTCACTCTTTTTGTTCTTTCTCATTCTTTTCATTCTTTCATTCTTTTCAGTTGAACAATATTTATTAATTTCAAATCAACAATATTTTACTGGATTCCCATAAACCAGCATACAAATAAGGATTTGTATGATACAGCTGGTGAGAAGTGAGAAAATTTACACAGAATTATGTAATTTTGCATACCACGGAAGCCTGAAATCACCCACAATCTAAGGGGCTGATGACTGAGATTTCCAAGTACAAATTAATATTTCTTAGTTATCTCACTTTGGATGCCCAACTTAAAATATTTGAAAATGTTCAGAGTGATCTCTTCACCCACAGTCTGGAAATCAGGGTTTTTGTCAGTGATCAACAATGGTATGGACCTAAAATCACCAATTATATTTTAAATTCTTTTTATGCATTTATAAGTTAGGTTCTGTCTACTGAAAATTACCCATTATTTGTAGAGCTCAACCTCTTTATGATGGACATTAAATTTGCCCTGAAAGTCTTTAGTGAATTGACCAGTGTTGGAAGAATCTTGGTGAATTCTCCTATTAATTTAGCTGTAAAAGTAGATATTGACATATGGCAATTTGTCTGTGTAGGAATGAAGAATTACAGGGATACGAATCCACCTAATTTCAGTTATCAGGATTGTAGACATCAATAGCCCAGTTAATTATCCCAGAGCCTGGTTTGGACAAAGAGGACCCTGGAGGTTGTTTTGGGTTTCTTTTTCCCACACTGAGGTACTTTAAATGTGCACCCTGGGGTGATACATCATCCCCTACAAAGTCCTATTCTTAGATCTCTCTGTTTTTTTCTTCTCCTCTTCTTAGACCTTTTCTTCCACTTATACCACTCCCCTGTTTTTCCAGGAGCTCAATTCCCGACTTCCGCCTTGTAGATGTCAACAATTAATCAGATCAATCTCACAGAGATTTTTTTTTCAAGGACTTTCAAGGATGTCCAGTCCCTGTGACATGTGCAGGATAAATGTGAGGGAAGGAACCACCATCTCCTCCCCAGATAAAAAAAAAGTGGGAATGCATGACAGAACATTTGGAATTTTCTGCACTATGTAAACAAGCTCCCTAATTTCTGTCAAATGCTTCCCTACAGTGGAGGATGAAAAGAAATTATTCTTTTTCAGGATGGATGAAGGGAAGGGAGCCATGGGGCTGGGGAAGGGATGTGAATTCCATTTGCAGAGGCCAGAGGCTGATCTCTGGTGCATGTCTGGAATAACTCCACTTAAATCAGGAGCAGAGCTCTGGATCAACAGACAGCTGCATTTATCTCCTCAATCCTGTCACTTACAGTGATGGAAATCAGGAGCTGAAGTCGAGGGAGCTCTGCCAGTTTTATAAGGAACAGGCAGAAGGGGACTCAGGCTCCAAGCCTGTATTTCAGTCCATGCCTTTGCCACTGTGGTTTTCCAGTTCAGTAATTTCCACTACGTTTTCGGGCTCATGCTGGTTTCTCCCCCACTCCCAGAACAATGCTGGCTGACTTTTAAAAAGTAACCACTGAGACTCTCAGCTAGAACCTGTCTAAATGTCTTGCATGCTAAATAGCTTCTCTAAATAATAGGATTTTTTTTCCTTCTTTTTCCTTGCAAATGACATTCTCCCTACCTGCAAAATGCAAGAGGTGTTTGGACTTGTAAGAGAAATTAGTGCTTTCAGGGCCAGAGCTGCAATCCTAATAATGACACAACAGGGGTTTCTGGCTTGTCTTGCATGGAAATAAATGATTTAATTTGTATTAATGTCAAAATAGAACATTGGTCACAGCTCTGGGATCCCCAGTGGAGGAAAGGCTTTATTTGCTTTGCAGAGAGAGTCTGAATGAACAAGGATGAAGAAAACCTGACAAACCAATGAGTTTCGTGGAAATTTTGCATTGAGGTATTTCCAGTATTAGGCAAAATTAAAGCAAAAGCCTTAATGACTTGGAAATGGGATTTCCAAGGCACAGAGTGCCTTTCCCTCAGTTCTGTGTTTTCAAAGAACCATTGACTGATTTTTGAAATTTTACTCAGTCTGCCTCATTGTTTCTAACATTACATAGATTCAAGCATAGCTCTCATGAAAAATCATTGCCAAGTTTGTCTTTTCGGGTTGTAAATACACATCCATTCCTACCTGCCACACCTGATGCTCTACAGGAGCAGATACTGACTACCAAAATATGCAGGTCCAGCTTTGGGAGCAGCTTTTCCTTCTGGTCCTTCAGAACAGGATATTTGCAGTTTTTTTTTCTCTTACCAAAAGAGACAATTTGGGAAGGACCTACCCTTTTGAATTCTTTATGAATTTTTTTTTTTCCCACACAGAAGACAGAATGTGGATTTCTGTTTCACCTCTATTCATCTCCGCTGAAAAATTAATGGAAAACCCTCCTCAGTGGGAAGCTAAACTCCTAGTTGCCCTGGCAAATCAAAGCTCAGCAATGCTTTGTGCAGATTTCCTTCATTTTACTAGATTTATATCCAGTAATTTCTCCAGCTGAGCTCATCACCTTCATCTTGCTGCACAATCAGTGGGAAAGAAGCAGAGAATTACATGGAATTCCATTGTAAGATGAGACAAACCATATCCTGGACTCCAATAATTCAATGGAGCAGAGAATGGGGTCAGCTGCTGGTTTACAGGTTTGATGCCTGAATCTTTTAGGAATTCCCCAGTGCAGTGGTGGCACAGACATCAAACTGTAACTCTGTGAATAGAAGAGTACTTGAACTCTGGACCTAAATTATGTTTGTACACAAATGGATGTGAGAAATGAAAGGATAAAACAGAACAAGAGGATATGGCCTCAAGTTGTGCCACAGAAGGTTCAGTGGAAGAATTTTTCTACTAAAAGGGTTTTTGAATTTTTGATAGGGCCACCCAGGGGGGTTTGGAGTCCCCATCTCTCTTAGACTGGAAATGGGGGTGTGCGTTCTGTTGCCATCTGTCAGAGCTGGGGCAGTTCTCTGCTGTCCATGGGGCAGTTTTCTTTATCTCTCCGACAGCCAATCCTCCCTCCAGGAGATCTCTGCTGTCCATGGCCACTGAGTGTCCCTGCATGGCTGAGAAAATTCCATCATCCATGGGGAGATGCTGCACCCAGGGGAGGAGCCAAGCATTCCTACCTGGATACAATCTGACCTGGGAACAGCACAGCAGCCTTTGCCCCCTGCATTCCCAGAGGAGCAGCTTTCTTCCCCCTGCATTCCCAGAGGAGCAGCTTTCTTCCCCCTGCATTCCCAGAGGAGCCCAGGCCCATCTCCCCCAGCCCTGGAGCTCCAGAGGAAAACTCCCCCCTTGTGCAGGATCCTGCTCCAGCAGAAGCACAGCTGGCACTGCAGGAGGGCTGAGCCACCCTGGGATGGGACTGCTGCCACCTCCCTGACCCACAGGCTGCCAGGGCCTGCTCTGACTCTGCCAGTGGTGTTTTTTTTTTTTTGTTTGTTTGTTTTTCTAATTTGTACTATTGTATTTGTATTTTTAACTTCCTAATAAAGAACTGTTATTCCTATTCCCATATCTTTGCCTGAGTGCCCCTTAATTTCAAAATTATAATATTTTGGAGGGAGGGGGCTTATATTTTCCATTTCAGGGGAGGCTCCTGCCTTCCTTAGCAGACATATGTCTGTTCAAAGCCAGACACCATCCCTGGAGGTGTCCAGGGAAGGTGTGGAGGTGACACTCGCACTGGGCTGGGGTCAAGGTGGGGATCAGTCACAGCTTGGACTTGGTGACCTTGAAGACCTTTCCCAACCTAAAGGATTCTTTCCCTTTGTGATCCTTCTCCAATCACCACACTCCTGTTGCACACTTGCCATGGTGCTGGATGCACCTGAAGTCATTTCCCACCCAGAAGCACCTACCCAGTGTCATCGAAGTGGAGCCTCAGCACTGCCCAGACAGTGACACAAATTGTCGGGGTACCTGCAGAGGACAAGACAGAGACACATGAATAGTCCAGACACACTTGATACTCAGCAATGAGCATTTCTGCAACCTCTCCACTGAGGTTTGGTTTCCTGGCAGCACTTGTGCATGGGATAAACCAATTTATTGAGTTAATTCAGAGATGCAGAAACATCCCTGCCAGTCTGGGGTGGGATTGTAGGAGCAAAAGTGGGAGCAGGAAAGAATGATGCTGTGCCAGGTCATTATTGCTCAATGCTTTACTGCATTTTGCTGCATGAAGAATAAAACAAAGTCTAGACAGAGGAGAATCAACCACATCCATGTCTAGAGCTACTGGGATCATGCAAGAATTGCAGTGCCAGATGTTGAGCTGGAATGGCATCATTGGATTCTGTGTATTCTTCTGTGGTTTTGTTGTAAATGATTTGCATATGTTTTCTCTGTAACTGTGTAAATAACCAGTTTTTCTTTACTTATTCAACCAAAACAAACCCATAGACAAGAAGTTTCCTCTGCTCACAGGAATATCTAATTTTTTCCATTTAAAAAATACCAGAACTAAACAACAGACTCCAAAAAAAGTCTTGGAGTAAGGATTTAATTCCTATTTCAGACATTTCTTCATTTTCAAAAAATGCATGTAAAATGCAAATTTAATTAAAACAGTAAAAACACACTGAGAAACCTGGATTTATTTTCCTTTCTGAAAATCCTTGAAGTGTGATTATTTTTTTCCCAGTGTAAATATTTTTTATAAAATAATGCATTTTTTCAAGACAACCCTGGGTAAGTTGAATCTCCACTGTATGGTAAATAAAATCTTTGACTAAGATACTGCTGACATCTGTTAAAAAAAAAGTGCTGGAAAGAAAAGTGCCAAAAACCAAACAAAACAAGGACCTTGATAACCCCAGCTCCCAGCAGTGAACAAGACTATGGTGAGTTGACAGGAAAAATTATATTTAATACATTTTGCAAGGCTGTGTTGATCTCACATTAATTAGTCAGTCATTTGAACCCACTTAGACGAGCTTCTGTCTAATCTTATTTCCACCATCAGAAATAAAAATACCCCTCTTAGACCTGGGTGACTGATGGAGCCCTCCTCCTTCAAACAACAGCACAGAGAAAATTTTGAAAAGAAAATGATATAAAGAAATAAAATGACAGGCTTTGGGGAGAAGAAATCATGCATATTAAATTTCACTTGAAGTCTGCTTTTCTCACAGGTGAATACCTAGGAAACACTGAAAAAATGCTTTCTGCCCTTAAAGGAGTTAAGATTAATATTTAAATATCAAACTTTAATTTTAATTTTTTCAAACTAACCTTTAAATATCAAGTATTTGCCCAGAGAAGCTGTGGGTGCCCCATCCTTGGAAGTGTCCAAGGCTGGGCTGGATGAGGCTTGGAGCAAGCTGGGATGGTTGAAAGTGTCCAGGGAAGGGGGGTGGGAATGAGATGAGTTTTAAGGTCTCTTCCAATCCTAACCATTCTTTGATTCTATAAAACATGGGTCTCATGCTTTATTTAGTTTCCTCTATATAAATTTTGTGTTATGAATAGCATTCCAAATCTGTAAAATGTGCAGAAAGGCAGAAATAAAACTAAATGTATCATAAAAATGCATTTAAAACCCCCATGTTTCAGATCAGTTTGGAGCTTTGAACCATCTGCTGTATGAATATACATATCCTTACACTACTTTTCTTTATATCAAAAGATTTCTATCCCTCCATCGCCTCCTTTTCAGCTTCTGAGGAAGGTTAGGAAACAGACAAGCCCTGAAGGCTGAGATTTATTCTTGCTGACTTGTGCTGCCCGGAGTTAGTGATGTCTTCTGAAGACTGACCTAGAACAGAGGGTGGACACAGAGCTAAAGAACAAAATATGGATTTACTAAAGGATCTCCTCCATGGATCCACCTTGGGCAGCACCAGAGCGCAGCCAGGGCTGCACCCAAATGACCCAAAATGGTCCCAAAATGCACGAGCGCTCCCGGGGCTCTCCCTGGGATCAGTTCTGCTCCATTGGCACCTTGGAGTTCATTGTCCCATTCCAGCTCCAGCCCAGGCAGTCCCATCCTGCTTGTTTTTCTCTCTCCAGCCCACGCTGTTTGTGCTCCTGGGCTGAGGTTTGGATCATTTGTCCTTGGTGCCCAGCTGGAGCAGGAATTGTTTTGTCTCCCTGCTCTGTGCACAGAGCTCAGCATCCCCTGATATGAAGCTCAGACCCACACACTAAAGCAGCACAGAATCTGAAAATATAAAAGCTACAACCTGAGGCATCATTAGGAGCTGGCATTGGCAGAGAGCTCAGGAAGACATCAGTCCATCCAGAGAATTCACCAGCATATTGCAGATTTAGGAAGAAAAAACTGCCTGGATCAACAGACCCATATGTAGTTCTCATTAATCCCTCAAGATGAAGACACTGAGGTCTCAGCACATTTAGAGAAATAGATCAACATCCAGATGCTGCAAAGTGCTGAGCTCTTGTTTCTCACTGCTTCAGTGCTGCTCCCTCCCCACCAGCCCTGAGCTGAGGGGCTGCTTTTCCCCTCCAGGGATGGAATCCACAGTCTGGAACTGCCTCTGTTGGCTTTGCAAATTGCCAAGTGTTCCCACCAGGTCAGGGGAACTGTGAATCATGTGGGAGATGGGAAAATAATTATGTATTAAAAAAACCCAACAAACCAGAGCCATCCAAATCTGGAGTTATTAATGGATATTGCTGATGCTGCTTTGAATCTGGATTGATTTGAGTGTTGTGTCCACCAACAGGAGCTGGGCATGGACCTGCTGAAATTAATCCAGAGGAGGCCTCAGAGATGCTCCAAGGGCTGGAGTCCGTTTACTGGGGAGAAAACTGGAAGAGCTGGGAATGTTCACCTGGAGAGGAAAATGCTCTAGGGAGAGCTCAAAGCACCTTGCAGGGCCGGAAAGGGCTCCAGGAGAGCTGGAGAGGGACTGGGGACAAGGGATGGAGGGACAGGACACAGGGAATGGCTCCCACTGCCAGAGGGCAGGGATGGATGGATGGGATATTGGGAAGGAATTCCTGGCTGGGAGGGCAGGAAGAGGCTGGGATGGAGTTCCCAGAGCAGCTGTGGCTGCCCCTGGATCTCTGGCAGTGTTCAAGGCCTGGCTGGATGGGGCTTGCATCACCCTGGGATAGTGGGAGGTGTCCCTGCCCATGGCAGGAGGTGCAGTAGGTGATCTTTAATGTCCCTTCAAACCCAAACCATTCTGGGATTCTGTCAAGTCCAGTGTTTAGTTCAATACCAGTTCTTATCTATGGCACTCAACTAAAAACTAAATATTTTGAGGTTGCATTACAGAATGAATCCATCTGGTCAGTTTATTCATTACAAGGACTGATTAAAAAAATACTTAAGTCAGTTAATATAAGCTGGTTTTCAGTATTCTCACATTCAGACAAATCCACAGATTTAAAATTTGTGCAAACTTAAAGGAACTCAACCTCTGATTTATGTTCTGATTAGGAAGGTTTTACAAATTGCAATTTTGCATTGCTTTCTTTTCTAATTGTCATGTTTCCATATACATAACCCCCAATTTCTCCTTGGAAACACACTTTTCTCTCAGCTATTATGTGATTATACAGCTGTGGAGGGTACAAAAGGAACCGTGAACATTTTTTCTAACAGTTTCTTTTCCAAGGGCCTTTTCCAGTAACCATCCATTTCCAACAGCCTTTTTATGGCACAGATTATTTATGATATTTTGTTGACTCCTTTCTCGCTATACCTTCTCTGCCTCTATACATTCTAGAAAGATTTTCTCTCCCTACTGTAAGGAGTCTTTGCCAGGAGATGAAAATTTTGGTTGTGTACAGCTGCTTCAGGAGAGAAAAACAAGACCATCTGTTGTTTCTTGAAGGTTCAGGCTACATAAGGATGTTTCTTCAAAGGAGAGTAGTTTAAGGCATGGGGTTTGTGTGTCGATTTTGCACATGAATATACAGGATTATTTCTATTTCAAAAGTGTCTGTAAGTATAAAAATCGAGTTTCACATTCTCAGGGAACATTTTAAATTAATGTATCCTTCTGCATTCACTGTCTGACTTCTGCACAAAAAAACATCTGCAAAGAATTGCCTGCATTAACACATTACAGGAATCAATTTATATCCAGAAGGCCAGAGTGAAAAATAATTACCATGGTTATCATCATTTAACTGGCTTTTCTGAAGTAAATATTGTTCCTTCCCAGTGCAAGTTTTTATTTCCCATCCAGGTAGGATACCAGATGTGAATACCCTTTGAATACATTTTCAATTTAGTTATTATATGGAAGAAAGGCACAAATGAAGCCTTAGAAAATGGACTAGACTTAGCCTTACAGATTTGATTAGGCTGAAGGAGTTGATGTTAAGATCATATCTTGCAGGAGGCAATTTTCTGTTGCAGATTACACCTCTGCAAGAGATGTGGTGTCCTCCAGATTTCAGTGCAACTCTATTCACACAAAAAATCGCAACACAGCTTGGGCTGGGCTGCATTGGTACTTCTATGCTGTGATAATTCACTTGTGGGGAATTTTGGAAGGAATCTGAATTATTTTTAATGATGTTGTCTTATCCTCTACACAAGCAGGAAGGGTGACTTTGGCTCACATTGTTACAGCACGGCTCAGAAGGACACAAGTCCCTTAGTTACAAGACCTTTTAAGGAGTTATTGACCAATAAAACACTACCAACAAGAGTATTTATGGTTTTGACCCAATGTTTAAGTATTTTGTCTTATGGTCTCATGCTACAGTGTGAGTTTTCTTGGCCAATCATGTTATGACACACAAACCTACAGTGCTGCATTCTGAAGTTCTTGTTTACCTCTGTAACTACTTTTATTTTTTCTATATCTTAAACTCTAAAGCTCTAAACTTTTCTTAGCTTAACATGTCTCTGCTTTAAACTATAAATCCACATTTTCACTTCTAGCATCTCAGTTTGGGAGCCTTTTCCAAGGTTTCAGATCAAATCCTGTGTTTAATTCTGAGCTTTGGCTTACAGGCTCAAAGTTCTGAGAGTTCCTTGCATTTCAGATTCCAGCATCATTCCAACATAATTTTGACATCACCAAGACTAAAATCATAGTTTGAAACTTGACATGAAAATACCACACGTGGTTTGTGGAGCCACCCTGCACCCCGAGACACGCTGGAGACAAGAAGTGCCACGTACCCCAGCCAATGATTGTGTACCAGTAGAAATATCTCCTCTCGGGGAAGAAGGTTTCCACCAACAATGTGAAGAGGTACAACCCCTCGATGAACAGCCAGAAGTAGTTGGACATGACACAGTAGTGAAAAAACACCATCACTGCTTTGCATTCCACCTGCAGAGGATGGAGAAGAACAAAGTTATTTCTGCATTGCTTAGGCCTAACAGAAAAAAATGCTTTCAACCTCTGCAGATCTCTCAGTGGAAAGAGATGGTGCTGGTATTACACACTTTTAATGGTAAAGGTTTTAAAGGATGTGAAGAACAGCAGGTATCACTTAGACAGCAAAGCCTGGATGGGAGGAAGCCAATTTTACCAGTGGGAAGTGGTCAAGGAGCATTTCAGAGCAGCTTGAGCACGTCCTGTACTGCTGAGGGCTCACAGCCCCACTGAACACCAATTACTGGACTTAAGTCCCCTTCCAGGATTAAATGCAGGGAAGATAAAAAATCCAGTTGTGTACTGAGAAACCCAGAGAAGGATGTGAAATGGCTGGATGGCTGTAGAAAGCCCTGAGAGTGGGATCTGAAAGGATGAACCTTCCTGTGTGCAGCTGGGAATTGCACTTCCTTGCCATTCATCATCAGTGTTGTCACTCAAGGACAGAAAATGGAAATAAGTGTGAGGAGAAAGGAGGCTGAGTGATCAGCTGTAAAAAATAAAGATAGGAGCTTTCATTCATGGACAGGAGTGGGGAGGAGCAAACTAAAGAAAAATGAGAACTAGAAATAAAATTAAAATAAGATATTAATTAAAAAAATAAAATTGAAAAAAAAATTAAATAGAATAAAAATAAAACCAGAATAAAATTAAAATAGAATATAAACTTATTTTAAAAGGAACTGAGTTTGTTTAGGCTTGAGAAAAGGGGGCTCAGGCAAGACATGATTGCTCTCTATAACTTCCTGATAAAAGGTGGTAACAAGGTCAGTCTCTTCTCCCAGGTAACAAATTCTAGGACAAGAGGAAATTGTCTTAAATTACAGCCAGGGAGGTTTATTTTGGATAGTAAAGAAAATTTCTTTCCTGAGAGGGTTGTCAGTCACTGGAACAGTGTCCAGGTCAGTGTGGAGTCACTATGCATGGAGCTGTTTAAGAGATGTGGAAATGTGGCACCTGGGGCTGTGATTTAGTGGTGAATTTGGCAGTGCTTGGGAATGGTTGGACTCAATTTCAGAGGGTTTTTCAACCTAATTGATTCTGTGAAAAAAGCCTAAGGTGACAACCAAGCTTCTGGGAGAGTAGAACATACTGATCTTTCCAGTGCTGCACCCCAGTGAGATGCCATTAGTCCTACAAAAGTAGGATTTTCCAACAAATCCTGTGGGAAATGAATCTGTAGAAAATTTTTAAAGTTTGATAGAAGATTTACAGCATATGCATTTGCATGCAAATTTTGAGATAAGAAATATTGATTTAGAAATGTTATGGAAGACATTAGATATTGTTGAGATAGAAATTGAATTAGAAATAAGTTTTAAAGGGTGGTTTTGTAAATAAGATTAGATATTTTGTAGAAATATTATTATGAAGGATGTATTGCAGCAGGATTTATGAGGGCTAATTTTAGATGGTTGGTTTTAAGGTATTTATAGTATGGTGTAGTAAAAGTTGATAGGTTAAGAAATGCTTATAATGTAATTAGGAAATAGTTGGTTTTTGATTGTGATGATGTGAATTATAGTATTTGTATTGTTTTACTTTTTGCATGAAACTGAAAATAGAATAAAAGTTTTTAAACAGCTTTTTAGTTGTTTTATTTTTGAGTTAGAAAAGGGTATAATTTGATAAATAGGTGCTTTGTGTGAGGAAAAAGGGCATAATCCAAGAGATCTGAGAAGAAACTGTGTATAAAATGGAAGCTCCTGCTGGAGTCAGTGATTAGCTCCCACTTTGACTTCATCCTCTGGGTCAAATCTACCATCAAGGTGTTTAAACCATCAGATCTCGAGTTTCTTCATGGAAGCTCTACCCAGGCTGAAGTTCTGGTCATAAAATGTCTGATTTTAATGTGTTTTGTGCTTTAAGTGGTTCCAAACAAAGAGGCAGATGCCACCACTGGAAGAGTGGCAGGAGCAAACTACAGACCTAACTTGGCTTCAGCTTTCTTGTGGAAAAAAATTGAGAACAAAAACTAGTTTCAATGACAAAGAAAAGGCTGACTAAGAAACTCCACAGCTGCACTTGCCTTGTGGAAGTGACTCACAGGGAATTCAGCTCATAACTGGATGGATAAAGGAGAGCTCAGTTTGTAATTCTGTCATAATTACACCCAGTCAGCTGATTTATCATATCAAATACTAGCCTTCAATATGAAAGAAATTGGGATTTACACATAATAAATGCTAAATGCATCAGTGAAAGAGTGCTCTGCATGAAACTCCATATTTAAGAGACAAAGATGTGGGTAATCCTGATGATTTTCTGAGAGCGTGGCCATCAGGTGTATTCTCGTGTCTGAATGGTCACCCTGTTCACATGTGGCTCTGCCTGACATCCAGAACAAACGAGGCTCTGGAGAAAAACCAGACCTTCAGATGAAGGAAATTGCTCTCATCCCACCTATCACTGAGATCTGGGAAAGTGAGGAACAATCAGGGCAGAGTCAGAAAATAAAACCTGTAGGTCTCTTTGTTCTGAAGGACACTGGTGACATCATGAGATGAAACATTCAGTCTGGCTGAGAATTGGGAGGGAAGTTAAACACCAACTACCTTTTCCCCTAATAACTCATGACACTCCACAGACTTCTGCCTGCCCCACTGCTTTTCCTTATTTTGAGCTGAAAAAAAGTGAAGGAAAAGGATTTGGTTCCAGTTTGACTCACCGTGGAGATAAAACAGTGGTTTCCATCCTGCTCAGCATAAAGAACCCCGTCCTTAATGAACACAGATATTGCACGGAGGATGAATGAAACAAAAAGGTTCATGTGGATGAAATTCCGAGTGCAGTGAAGCTTCCTGGAGAGGAAATAGGAAGGGAAGGTGGGGGAAAGAAAAAGAAATACAGAAGAAAACAGTTTTATTTCATGGAAATGTCATACTGGGCCTGAACGCACTTTACAACAGCAGCTTGGGTCAAAGAAGAGCAACATCTAAGCCAAGATTGTGTTAGTACTGGCCCTAAACCTGAGAGAGAGGAGGATTTGGGGATTTTATTGTAAAAAGATGCAGAGAAACATAAAGCATACAACAGAATGAGCCCAAAGGAGCTTGTGAAGTTTCATAAGCCAAACCCACAACTTCTCCTGCTACATTTACACTCTGCTGAAATGTGACTTCTGGAGTGTGCCCAAGCTGGAGGAACAACTCAGCTAGAGGATTTTCCCTTTATTATTCTATCTCTGGTTAAAGAGAAAACCTTTAATTCAGTTTAGGGCAGCTGAGCTCCAGCTTCCCTCCTCCAGGGCCCTGAGCAGCTCCCTGGTGGTGTCTCCACTCACCTGAAGCGACACAGGATGACCATGGCAGTGGTGAGGGAAACCAGGGAAGTGCTGTATCCCACCGTGTACAGAGCCTTCACCGAGAGATAGTAGTAATCCTTGGGAGGCAAAAACCACAGGGTTAGAGGGTTCATCAACAGCCACACAGCTGCCAACGTGCAGGGGCCACCAGAGGCAGGATCTGTGTCTTTGCACGGCTTGGCTTCTCCTCATTTCCTCTGAGATCTCACTGTGCATCAAGCTCTGCTCTAGGGCTGGGTCTGCACACCATGAGGTTATTTATCAGTGAGCTAGCAAAAGTTATCAGTTTTTTTAAAGTAAGTATCTATAGAAAAAAAAAAAAACAGTTGGCTAAGAGATTCTTTATCAACAGGGACAACCATTGAGGGTTAGCCTGCAATTCTAGAAGTTCCAAGCTATAACAACACTAAAAGCTCATCTTCTATAAGTATTCAATACAAGCCCAGGAAGGATTCAGATCTCACTTCTCACAGTTTTCTACCCATGTGTTGCAGTAAGGTAGAAAAATCATAAAGAAAGGCTTCATAAAATCAGGCCTGCTCTGGCTAGCCTGCCATTTCTTCTAAGGCAAGCTCGCACTTTGCAAGTTCCCATGTGAAAGCAATCCTGGTGTGAGCAATTTGTTAACATAACAATCTATTCCTGGGTGAAAAACAACTTGCACCTGTATAAACTGTTTTTTACACCATTAGATAGAAAATTGAAAACTATCTCTCACAGCTTTCCCTGAACATATACACCAAGAGTTTGAGTGACCAATCAATACAGATTAACAACTTGTTAATAAACAATAAAGTAATTGGCAAGAAAACTACTGACCAACTGGTCTCCCACACAAGTAAATAAAAGGATAAATATATATAAAATAAAATAACTCCTGAATAAAAAGGAGTTATGTGAATGAAGAATGGCTTTTTCCACTATGAAGAAAATGGAGTCTGTGTGATTTATTCCAATACCCATGTACATCTGATTGTTTGTTCTAATCATTATCAAATGACAAGTAGGCTGGACAGAGAGCAGTCTGCTACTTCCCCCCTCCCCACTTCATTTGTTTTTAATTATGAGATTAATTCCCACCTGGTTATCAGACTCTGTCTCGTTCTCATCAAAGCCACAGGCATCGTAATAATGAGGGAAAGGTTCGGACCAGCCATCTTCAGTACAATTCCTGCTGATGTCCCCTGTGCCAAGGGCAAGCAGGAATGTGAGATCCCAAGAAAAAAACACCAGGACATCCCTTCCCTCTCCTTGGTGCAAAGAAAACCCCACAGTTCTATTGGTAGCTCTGTTTATCTGCCTGTGCATAGATTTAATTCTGGAAATTTAATGAGGTCTTCAGTGATCCACTCCTACAACAGCAGGCACTTATGGATGGCTATTAGTACAGTTGGTCACCAGAGAGCAAAAATATTTATCCAATACATTAAATTTCTCCAGGCCACCAAAAATCTCACTCTCCTAAACCAGGGGTCAGCTAAATGTCCATTTCTTTCAAGAAGGCATCTGGTGACTCCAGCTTTGATGAAGGTATCTCCACTCCACACAGCCAAAGGGGAAGTGCAGTGATTAAAAGTAGGCCCTTTGTGCTATTTTTAATGGTTTATATCTGAGGGACATGCATGGGACTGGTGAGAAACACCAGAGTAACATGATTTTTTTGTCCAGGTGCTGGAAGCTAGTCAGGATACTGTGGAATATCTCAGATAATCATGGGTTGTATATCCATGGAGAGGCAGCTGGATGCCTCTCCTGATAAGACACATCCCACTCGTTTATCTCCAAGCCCAGCTCTGATCTCAGAGTGACTTTGTTGAAAGGGTCTACAGAAAATGAAGGAACGTGGACTGGGAATCTCTCTCCCATCCCTCTCTTCATGGCAATGTGTTCTTTCCTGTCGGAATCTGTGGTATTGATGATTCTGAGATTGTAGAAAGTCTCTGTCTGTCAGCCCCGCTCCAAAGCAGAAGCCATAATTGGTCTGTGCTGGTTTCCAGGTTGTTTATTCTGTTGATCTCTCACATGTTCTGCTGCCCTGCCCAGCTCTGTCCTGCAGGGCAGCGTGTGGGGCTCTGCCCTCAGTGGGATGTGACAAACATTAAATACCAGAAACTCCCTGGGCTGGATTTACAAGAACGTGCCAATATCTGTCACCTACGTTGGACAGTGTGTCCCCAGCCTGAACCAACAGAAAATGCCAACACCACAGTGAGACATGGAGGGCGTGAAGAAGGAGAAAAAGGACAAGACACACCAAATTTCCTCCATCTTGTCCCCTTTGGACCCCTCATCTAGAATCCTAAAATTTTACTTTTGCACCCGTGCCACACTTAATTATTACTGATATCAAACCCTCAGAGTTGGTAATTCACCCTGTAGGATTGAAAACTCTTTTCCATGGGCAGAGATCACAGCCAGTGTCTCTGGGGGCTCTGTCCAGGGGGGTTCCTGACCCCTGCCAGGGTCCCAGACCTGCCAGGGCAGCCAGAGGGATGCCCTGGACTCCCACACTTTGCTACCTCCAGATACCCAGAGTGGCCTCAGTTGGTGAATTTAGAGCTTCTCACTTTCCTCTGTCTATTAATTATTCCGATCCTGGTTTATAACCTTAATTTTAAGCAAATATTGGCTTAAATACCTTTTTTGGCTAATCTCATATAAGAAGCTGCTCCTAAATGGTTTCATTAATAAATTTAGGCTTTAAAACCATACTGTGAATGAAGAGTTGGGGGCAGAAGTAGAAGAATCTCCTTACACTCATTTACCTACAAAGCTGCCTGAGGTAGGACAGCCCCTGTGGGGCTCTTTTGAAGCACCATTATTCTTCCCAAAGCTCAATAGCTTTCCCAAAAAAATAAGGATGGGCTGCTGCTGCACCTCTTCCTTTTCACCACAAAGGAACAGCCTCAATTAATTAAATTTTCACACTTTTTGGAGTTTCAGTTGCACCTTGACCAAAACTGATGGAAATTTCCATGTTTTGGGTTTGCTCTTTGCTATTAAAGTTGTGCTGCTTTGCATTCTAAGAGTAGTTTAATCTCTCATAACCTTATTTTTAACCTTATTTAAGAGAATCTGTTTGCCATCCATGCAGCAGAATATATCTCTTTAATCACAGCATTTGTTTAAGAAGATTGCATTACTCGGCAAAGTTTGTTAAATTACTCTTGCACATTCATCCCTAGTTTTCTATGAGAAAAAAAAGCACTGAGTCATGGTGCTGATTTCCTTTAACACCATTTAATAATTACTGTTAAGCACGTAGATATAATTTATAGCAGCACACTACTTAGATTGCAAGGCTTCATAGAGGAGGAATAAATTTTCATAATATTTCTAGAAGTAACAAAGCAGAAAATAAGTCATAACAATTAGAACTGATTAGAAAATAGCACCAAAAATGCAGGGAAAAAAAAACATCTGAGAGCTTCTCTTTTAACAGAGAGATAAATAAAAAGAGAGACAAAAATTTCCATGGTTCTGTTTCTTACCTAGGAGAGACTGGGCTGTGCTTTCCAGCAGGTCATAATCACCTAGAAAAGTGGAAATTGGGTATGAAATTGTTTTGATTGTGTTTTCTATTAGAGCCTGAACTGGTCTCAGTGGAAAGCAGTGAATGGAGTGCAATTGATTTTTATTTGTTTAGATCAGGCCCAAAGGCAATAAATACTTGGTGCTGCCTTCTCAGGAAGTAAACACAGCTTTACTTGAGAGTTTAAATCAAAGCTGAGCCTCTACATTTAGAACTAAAAACACATACAATAAACAGGGGCACATTTTATTGTAAAAATATAGAAGTCAAATATGATTTCTATAGGAATTTACATTTATAATCTTTGGGTATTTAAATACGACCAGTTTTCAGAGAATTAATGAAAAATTGTTTCCATCCATCAATGACAAAGAGCAGTAATTAATTGCTATAAATAAGATAATTTTGTAGCTTTAGGAAAATTCACATTGATTTATAAAGACTAATGAGATTTTTAATTTCACTTTTTGTGCAAATATTATAGTTAAGTACCAATGTATCACTGTCACAATTGTTGATACACAGACAACTTTTTAATAATCTGAAATTGATGTCTGCACAATTTTCGGGAACAGAAATTCCAAGGATAGAGGCAGCACAACTGATCTTACCTGCATGGGTTTGCCCCAAATTATCCACTTCCCAACCTGCAAATAGAATGAAAATAATTAATTCATAATGATAATAGGTTGCAATTTAATTTTGATAAAAGTTTGACTTCCATAAAAGGAATGGATGTAGTCCAGAGGAGACCTGCAGGTATAATCTTTATTTTTGTATTAGTCCTGTATATTTATGTGTGGAAAAGGATTTTCAGAAGATGGGATATTGTTGAATATCTGGTTTCATGATGTTTCATCAGACTCTAGGAAGAAAAAGAAAAATGGATGTAGGAGCATTTTTGTGGATTTTTTAAAAATTATTTTTAAGGGAATTTCTTGAAGTAAGGAAGACCCACACATTTCCAAACCACTGTGTCCAAACCCATGGTGCTTAATATCCTAAAACCACAACTATCACAATGTGAAATGTCAAAACTTTGGCTTTACATTAGAAATCTCCCTTCGTTTTGTTCTTCCAATAAAAAAAAATTAAATTATTGGAATGATGCCAAACCAGCCTCCTAACTTCCTGTGCACAACGTTTAATCCGAATTGGGCTGAAATCAGATTTTCCTGGATCCTGGGTGGATTTTGGCTCAGCTGGGGATGCAGGAGGAGCTGCCAGGGAGTGGAGCTGCTGCACCATGCACAGAGGAGCCTCAGGGAGCTGCTGCAAATCGCTCTCAAAAAAACATTCCCAGCACTTCACTGGCCACTACAGCAGGTTAAAAATTCATTTAGGTTTAGTTCTGCATCCTCCAGAGTGGCCACGGGGCATCAGGGTGTTTCCCTTTTAACTCTGGTGGTCAAATGTTAATTAGGGACTGAAAAAACCTTCACCAAATTGTATGAGAAGGGTTTTGTTAAAGGTGAAATCCAAATAAAGATTGATTTTGATCCTATGGGAAAGGAGAAAGCCTCTAAAGAAATAAAATAATAACAGGAGGCCTTTCAGCATGGTGTAAAATGTGGGGATTTTATTTTATCATTCATATAATAATTTAAAATTCCTTGATTTTCTGTGTCTCCTCTAAAGTAAATCTGATGTGCTTTTATAACTTTTAAGACAGAAAAAAAGAGGGTTTAATGTGAAAATGATGGTGAGAGTATAGAAAACTCATCTGAAGCATCAGGCAGGCTGTATTGTGATTTTTGACGGATTATTAAACATCAATCCTACACATCCAACCCACTGGGGACTCTGGAGGGATGATCCTGGAAGCCAAGCTGAAAACACCCACAGTCTCCATCCTTCTCTGCCCTACTCCAGATACTCCCAGGCCTCCACAGGAAGAATTTAGCCTGGATTTTAGGGAAAGGTTCTTGCCCCAGAGGGTGGTGGGGCACTGACCCAGGGAATGGGCACATTCCCAAGGCTGCCAGAGATCCAGGAGAGATTGGGCACCACTCCCAGGGATACACAGGCTGGGATTTTGTGCAGGGACAGGATGGTTTTGTGGGTCTCTTCCAGCTCAGGATATTCTGTGACTAATTCCTGTGCTTTTGTGCAGGGACAAGATGATTTTGTGGGTCCCTTCCAGCTCAGGATAATCTGTGATTCTAATTCCTGGTTATTTGTGCAGGGACAAGATGATTTTGTGGGTCCCTTCCAGCTCAGGATATTTTTTGACTCTAATTTATGTGATTTTGTGCAGGGACAGGATGATTTGTGGGTCCCTTCCAGCTCAGGATATTTTTTGACTCTAATTTATGTGATTTTGTGCAGGGACAGGATGATTTTGTGGGTCCCTTCCAGGTCAGGAGATTCTGTGACTTTAATTCCTGGGTATTTGCAGATGCTGGGGAGGTCTCTAAATTCTGAAGAGGTGTCTCCAGTACTCTAAGCAAACATTTTCCTGCAGCCAAGGTGGTTCAGCTGCAGAGCTGGCAGATGCTGCAGCAGTGCTGAGCCCGTGCTCCACATTCCTGGCAGAATGTCAGGGATGGTGTGGTGGGTTCAGTGATGGTCAATATTAGAATATTAGAATGTTAAATAATAGCATATTTGTATGTTCTGCTCTGCAGAATAGTTTGGAGAGACCTTTTTTTCCTCCTAAATCCACCAAACCCCAGGTTTATTAGCAGCCATGCAGCTTAGTTTCAGGGATTTGTTGCTAAAATCAGGATGTGTTGCTAAAATCTGAATGCAGAACAGGGATGTCAGGTTGTGGGGTGGGAATTTTTATCTGTGGGTGTATCAGAGGATCAAATAAAAAGCCACCACTCCCTTATCACTTCTTTCATGGTGCTTTTCACAGCCTCTGCCACTCCAGGCAGCAGCTCTGGTGGAATTTGTCCCCTTAGTGAGGTCACCTAACTCAGCAGCCTGTGCCTCACACTGACCCCCACAAGCAGGGAAGACAAAACTGCAAGGACAACTCCCCAAAACCCCTTTGCCTCATAAAAATCCACTTTTCCTTTATCATTTGTAGAGTAATTTGACTTTAAAGCTGTGCTGAATTCTTTCTGGAGGAAGATCAGGCCAGTATTATATAGATTGATGCCTGATGTTCCTGACTCCTGCTTATTACAGTGATGGCTGGGAAAAAGACATTTCTCTTAAATTTAAATGTTTTGAATGGAGCTATTTTCCCCCTACAATCTAAAAAGCATGACATAAAATTTATCATTTCATTCTAAACATAGATAGCAGTTAGTTTCATTGATATTAAAATAATAAATTTTAGTTAATTTTTAATTTCATGACATCTGTAATAACAGTTAAAACACATTAATGCAGTTTTTCTGAAAGGAATAAGCTTGTTATAGAAATATTTTCATATATATACTGAAATTATGATTACATTTCACTCTGTTTGGACATTATGAAGGGATCCACTTTTCTAACAACATTAATTTTCTGATTTGTAGTAGCAAGCAAGCCTTGTATTAACATGTATTTCTATATCTGAATTAATGTATATCTATATCTTAATTAATGTACTGAAGAAAGTTCCAGTACAATATTTGTCTGTACAGGCTTTTATGCTTGATTCATCAACTCAACTTTCATTAATAAGTTAAGATACCAGGAAGTTAATTAACTTTACATTGAACATCATGCCCTGAGTTACAACAAAAAGTCAAAGTTCATCTATTGAGTGTTGGGATAAAATGAACACGTATAAAATTGTGTATGTATACACATATACAATTTGTGGGTGTGTGGATATATTTTTGTATTTCTATACAATTATTTAAATACATATATTTTTTTACATATAAAATATATGTGTATATATTTTTATTTCTATTCTATATTATATATATATGAAATATAAACATATAATAAAGATAATGTATAATATTAAATTAAAATATATAAACACATATATAATAGATATGGTTATTTATATTTTATATTTATATATTTTGTATATATAGATAATTTTATATATAGAAACAGCTATTACATTAATATAAATATACATATTGATACAAATATTGATATAAATATAAACACAAATTTTATATTTATATTATTTATATTTATATTTATATTTATATTTATATTTATATTTATATTTATATTTATATTTATATTTATATTTATATTTATTTATATTTATATTTATTTATAACATATATAATTAGGTGTATATAAAAGGACATGAGGGAACATATAGCCACCCCATGCCTTTGAATTCCTTCATGCTGCAGCTACTGCCCTGCCCTCAGACAGTGCAGATTTCTCTATCCTGCAGCAAAATATGGATATTTATTTGACAGAAATCCATGGCATTGGTGCTGCTTCCTCACATGTCTGAGAATGAAATGGAGTTCAAATGGATTTGCTTTGTGCACAACATTTGACATGTTTACATAGACCTGACCTTGCATCTAGAGGGTTGTAGGGAATCCCAGACACACTCTCGTTTTTCTCAATATTACCTCAAAATATTGTTTTTCTGGGTTATATTTTCACCTTAGTGCCTTCAAAACTGTAGAGAGACCTCAATAAATTTATTCTGCTGTCAGTGATGGAGTGGGCAGAACTACAGGACCCTCACTGCGTGGGCTTTCCCAGGAGCCTTCTTGTTTTCCTGCTCTTAGGACACAGTGAGAAATTGGTGTGTTTGACTCCACTGATGAAGAAGAGAAAGCCCATTAATATAACTATGCAATGGTTCAATAAAATGCATTGCACTCTCAGAAATGAAGAATAAATAAAATATGATTTTCATCTGGATTTCCAGTGGAAACATATTTTTCAGGGGTTTAATTCAAGGGTTACATTTACAAGGGACTTTTGAGGAGAGCATGTAGGGACAGGATGAGGAGGAATGGCTTTAAACTGAAAGTGGGCAGTTTTACTTTGGTTATTAGGAATGAATTCTTTACTCAAGGGGTGGGAAGGCCCTGGCACAGGCGCCCAGAGCAGCTGTGGCTGCCCCTGGATCTCTGGAAGTGTCCAAGATCAGGCTGGACGGGGTTTGGAATAACCCTGAGATAGTGGAAGGTGCCCCTGTCCCGGGCAGGGTGTGGCACTTTGTTGTGTTTTAAGATCTTTTCCAACCCAAACCATTTTACAATTCTATTAGTCCATGATGGTAACATCTTAAATGTCATGATTTATTTCTTTTTTGAATGACACCTCATTCTTCTCACATGTTGTTAAACCCAAACTATGGAAATAAGGACACGAGAGCAGATACTAAACAGTGCCTAAGAACAGCACTTATTAAATCAATAATTGCTCTTATCAGTCAATAAACTCCTGAGGGAGGTGCTGTTTTCCTTGACTCAGGATGGTTTATCCAGTGTATTGACTGGTTGTGTTATTTGCTGTTTGACCAGACTTAAGTAAGTGTCACTCTTTGGGAAGCAAATCTACAATTAATGCTTTAATTGACATTGTTAATTAGATGTTATTTGCAGCAGTGCTTAGAGATCATAAAGAAGATCTATCAGAATGCTGAGTTACCAGTTCTAAAGACCAAGTAATGAAAATACTCCTTATCTGTGTTTTCTGCAGAAAAAAGGTAAAAGAGGGAGGGAAAAAAAAATCCAATGACTTGCCAATGGCTCCCCACAGAGTTTGTGGC